TCAGAAGAGAGCACCAGAGCTCATTACAGATGGTTGTGAGCCATCATGTGGTTGCTGGGAATTGAACTCAGAACCTCTGGAAGGATAGTCAGTGCTCTTAATCTCTGAGCCATCTCTCCAACTCCTTTTTTTTTTTTTTGGTTTTACGAGACAGGGTTTCTCTGTATTGTTTTGGAGGTTGTCGGTCCAGCCTGGCCTCGAACTCACAGAGATCCGCCTGCCTCTGCCTCCCGAGTGCTGGGATTAAAGGCATGCGCCACCACCGCCCAGCTCTCCAACTCCTTCTAAAGTTGACTTTTTTTTGTCTGTTTGTTTGCTTTTTTCCAAGACAAGGTTTCTCTGTGTCACAGTTATAGCTGTCCTGGAATTTTGGCTGTAGACCAGGTTGGCTTTGAATTTACAGAGATTTGTCTGATTCTGCCTCCCAAGTGCTGGGATTAAAGGTGTGCACCACTACCATGCAGCCCAGTGTGCACACTTAACCCCTGAGCTATCTCTCTAGCCCCATGCTTATGTTTGCTTTTGTTTTTAAAGATTCTTTATTTTTATTTTATATGAACGAATGTTTTGCCTGCATCAATGTCTCTTCACAATTTGCTTGGTGCTACAGAAACCAGAAAGAGGGTGATGGATCTATTAGAACTGGAGTTACAGACAGCTGTGAGCTGCCGTGTGGGTGCTAGCAATTGAACTTGGTTCTCTTAACTGCTATCTCTTTACCCCCCCCCCATGCTTGGCTTTTTATTGGTTTAGAGTTACCTTTTGGCAGTGCTCAGGATTGGTCCCACCACCTTGTGAATGGGAGGTATTTCTCTAGCCCTCATTTCTTTTTATTGCTGAGAAGGATTCCATTGTACAGTTATTACATGATTGTACTACACTGTGTTTACTAACCTATCTGATGAAAAGGTGAAAGAAGTTTCATTGTGGGCGATGTTATAGAGCAGTTAAATCTTTAACCACGGTAGCAGGGTTTTACACATACTCTTTGTAATAGTTAAATCATGGCTGGAACTGTAGTTCAGTAGCACAGCACATGCTTTTTGTAACTGGGGACTAGAGAGATAACTCAGCTGTAAAGAGGTCTTATTACTCTTGCAGAGGACCTGGGTTTGGTTTCCAGCATCCACATGGTGCCTCATAACTGCCTTTAACCCCAGGCAATGTCCTCTTCTGTTTTCCACAGGTACCAGGCACACACATGGTGCAAATACATACATGTAGGTAAAACACTCATAACATAAAATAAAAGAAAAAAATTGGATTTTTTTTTCCGAGACAGCGTTTCCCTGTGTAGCTTTGGAGGCTGTCCTGGAACTCGCTCTGTAGACCAGGCTGGCCTCGAACTCACAGAGATCCGCCTGCCTCTGCCTCCCGAGTGCTGGGATTAAAGGCGTGCCTCACCAACGTCCGGCTTTTTTTTTTTTTGAGGCAGAGTTTCTCTGTGGCTTTGGAGGCTGTCCTGGAACTTGCTCTGTAGACCAGGCTGGTCTAGAACTCACAGAGATCCGCCTGCCTCTGCCTCCTGAAGCGTGTGCCACCACTGCCCAGCTGGATTTTTTTTTTTAAACAGGGTTTCTCTGTGTAGACCTGGCTGTCCTAGAACTTTTGCTCTGTAGACCAGGCTGGCCTCGAACTCAGAAATCGGCCTGCTTCTGCCTCCTGAGTGCTGGGATCAAAGGGTGCATTCATCAACACCACCTGGCTCTTCTACCTCTTCTTAAAGTCTTTCTATCATTTACTTATTTGACAGAATCTCTTGGCTCAACTAGAACTCTATGTAGGCCACCACCACCTGGCTTTTCTACCTCTACTTCTTTCTATATTTATTCATTCATTTATTTCTCTCTCTTTTGCTATCTATCTCTCTGATAGAACTCTCTAAGCAGCCCAGACTGTGCCGGAATTAAAGTCATGTATCACTACTTCCTGGTTTTAAAATATAATTTTAAGAATGGCTAAAGTTGCTGGGCAGTGGTGATGCACACCTTTAATCCTAGCACTCAGGAGGCAGAGGACGGAGGATCTCTGTGATTTCGAGGCCAGACTGATCTATAGAGATCCAGAACAGCCAGGACTATTACACAGAGAAACCCTGTCTCATAAAACAAACAAAATTCAAAACAAAACAAAACTGGTTAAAGTCTAAGTCTTAGTTCGGCCACTAAATTACTAGGTAGTCTTAGACAAATCACGTTTTCAATGCCCAAACTGTAACACCGAATTATGAAAGTCTGAAAGCTCATTAAAATTCCAGACAGAACTGGTTCCATCACCTTTTGATTCGCCAAACGAAGTAGTTTGGTCTTTGTGGTTCACCGTAGGCCCGGCCTCCAGAAGCAGTCATAGGCTCCGCCCCCTGCGTTCCGGACGGCGCGAAAACCCAATTGACAAGAAGTCCCTCCGAAGCCCAAGGCCTGGTCCGCGTTCCGTGTGCGGCGGCCACTGAGGCCCGGGGCTCGAACGCTGAGCCTGGAGCGCCTGCCTCGGGGGCCCTGAGCACTGTGAAGCCGCCCCCGTGGCGTCTGCGCCCGCGCTTTTTCGATTAAGCCCGGCTGGACGGCCCTGGGCCCAGCCTCGCACTCGCGTCCGTCCGGTGGGCTCTGGGGGAGCCCGTGACAGACCCCGCGGCCCCGCAGCTTGCTCCCCTTGGACCGGCCGCCTCCATGGCCTCCAGCCAGGCTGGGCCGGACCGCTGGAGGTCCTAGGATCCCTGGCTCTGGGAGGCAGGGATCATGGTGGGGGTCCTGACCATGGCGGCGGCTGCAGCTCCCCGTCCAGTAAAGGACTACGAGATTGAGGTGAGCTCCAGGATCTGTCAGGTTCTTTTCTGCCTGTGTTGGGGAATTGTGGCGTGCGGGTGGTGGGAGTCCTGCTTGTTTTCTGGGACAGGAAAAGAATGATGTGATGATCCACAGCTCTAATTTTGTGTGGGATGGTCGCCTCGGTGTGCTGTGGTAAGCCTTCTTTGGAATTCTCAGAAATTTTCGGGCTCGCTGTAAGCTCAGGATTTAAAAAATCACTGTTCCCGGGTCCTGAAACATTGGTGGAATGACATGTCACCGAGGGTCTCAGACTCAAATTCTTTGTTCGTGATGTGGAATCATAGAACAGCGAAAAAGATAATTTCATCTAGTCCGTACAAACACCTGTCCTAGGAATTCCATGTAGAATTAAGAATTAAGTGAGGTACGTAAGTCGGTTTCTCGTGGCTTCAGAGCTTAAAGCAATGTAGTTAAGAGTCTCTGACACCTTAGGTGTTCTGTATTTACCATGTTTCAGAGAATACACTAAGCTAGAGATAGTACTTGTTCTGGGAAGTCCTGGGTTACAGAAAGAAATAAAAATACACTAGGCAACCATAATGATAGTCTATGCTATTGGGTAGGATCGTAAAGTACATGACTGATATGTATACATAGATAGAAAATCCAACCCAAGTTGGATTCGGACCTACTGATCCTCCTGTCACCACTTTCCAAATGTTGGGACTACAGGCTTGTGCCTCTTCATAGCTGCTATGGTTTTTGGTTTTTTTTAATACACCATATCTCAGACTAGCATTCTAATTCATGTGTTCTGGTGCCTTTCAAGTGAGCTAAGATGTGTATTCACTTAAATTCTAACTCTTTCTTTGTTTTGTTTTTTGAGACAGGGTTTCTCTGTATAGTCCTGGCTGTCCTAGAATTCATTCTATAGATCAGGCTGGCCTAGAACTCAAAGAGATCCTCCTGCCTCTGCCACTTGAGTGCTGAGATTGAAGGCTTTCGCCACTTTCTCAGGCTTGTTTTTATTTCTTGTTACACTTATGAACTTACAGTTTTTGATTGGTGGTGTGGAGATCAGAGGACAACCTGTAGGAGTCAGTTCTCTTCTTCTATCCTGTGGGTCCCAGGGCCTGAACTCAGATTGTCAGTTTGGCAGCGAGCACCGTTTATCTACTGGGTCATCTCACTGGCCCTGTTTTGGTTTTTAGACAAGATCCCATACAGCCCAGGCTTGTGAAAGCTCACCCAGCTTATATTTCTTTGTAGCATATTTAGTAGTTTCTAATTCTTTTTTTTTAAAAGATTTGTTTATTTATTACATATACAGTGTTCTGCCTACATGCCAGAAGAGGACACCAGATTGAATTGTAGATGGTTGTGAGCCACCATGTGGTTGCTGGGAATTGAACTCAGGACCCCTGGAAGAGCAGTCAGTGCTCTTAACCTCTGAGCCATCTCTCCAGCCCCAGTTTCTAATTCTCTTTCTTTCTTTCTTTCTTTCTTTCTTTCTTTCTTTCTTTCTTTCTTTCTTTCTTTCTTTCTTTCTTTCTTTCGTTTTTTTGAGACAGGATTTCTCTGTGGCTTTGGAGGCTGTCCTGGAACTAGCTCTTGTAGATCAAGCTGGTCTCGAACTCACAGAGATCTGCCTGCCTCTGCCTCCTGATTGCAAACTGTCATCTAATTTTCTTAAGAACTTGGTTTCAGAAATATTTCTTCATCAGATATTTTTTAATTGAGTTATTTATTTTACGTATGTTTGTGTTTTAACTGTATGTATGCCTGTGTGAGCAAATCCCCTGGTGCTGGAGTTACAGCTGTGAGCTGCCATGTGGGTGCTGGGAGTTGAACCCTGGTTTTCTGGAAGAGCAGATAGTGCTCTTATCTGCTGAGCCATTTCTCCATCCCCATCACATGAATTTTTTAGTTTCTATGGCTGTTTAGTCATTGTTGTGCCCTGCATCTGACACAAGCAATTTTTAGTGACTTTCTCCATTCCAGATCCTGTGTTTTCAGGATCAGTCAGCCATGCTTCTTCCCAGGGGAAGTTGTCAGTTTGTGTGTTGTCTGCTCCATAGTCACAGTTCTGTTGGGATAGATCCTGGTCACATAGTCACATAAAATCAAGGTGAACAAACAAGAAAGGAAAAAGAGTACTATGAAGTTCTGCAAAATTAATCCCCTATGATTTTTCTCTCTCTTTTTGTTCTCTTCCTTTTTTTTTTCCTTTTTCTTAATTGTAGGAGAAATATGCTACTACTCAACCTCTACGGTAAGGCTGGTAGCCCTGAGAACTCCTTGATCAATGTAGCATGTTATGGATACATTCCTACTCCCAGAGAAGAGAGGAGTGGATATGTTCACATGCAATCATTTTTCTCTTTAATTAGTTCTAACTTTTTTTTTTTTTTTGGTTTTACGAGACAGGGTTTCTCTGTTTTGGAGGCTGTTGGTCCAGCCTGGCCTCGAACTCACAGAGATCCGCCTGCCTCTGCCTCCCGAGTGCTGGGATTAAAGGCGTGCGCCACCAATGCCCGGCTAGTTCTAACTTTTAATTTTTAAAATCAAGTAACTGTTTTCTGTTGCAGAATACGTATATTATTTGCTAAATCAAGTGAATTATTTAACTTATCTCATGTATAAAGGACTTTGGGCATTGACTTATTTGTTTCGGGAGAGTGGGTTTTTTTCAGTCTTTGGCTTATGGTTTTTGCTTAGAAAGTCTATTTTATGAGCCAGGCAGTGGTGGCATATGCCTTTAGTCCCAGCACTCGGAAGGCAGAGGCAGGTGGATCTCTGAGTTTGAGGCTAGCCTGGTCTACAGAGCAAGTTACACAGAGAAACCCTGTCTCCCCCCCCAAAAAAACCCTAAAAAACAAAAAAAAAGAAAGAAAACAAAGAAAAGAAAAAGCAAAGCAAGTCTATTTTATAATAATGATATTTACTCTTTAATATGGTAAAGGCTTTTTACATATTTTTTGCATAATAACCCTGTGATAAGGTATTATCTCTATGAAAGATGGTTGAGTTCCAGGAGAGAGCTGCAATGAGACTGTCTCAAAATGCCTAGTAATAATAATAATAGTAATAATAATAATAATAATAAAATCAATTAAAAAGGATGTGGGCCACCATACCTGATCTATAAGAAAATCTTACATCTGGGCCTAGTGGCATATACCTTTAACACCAGAACTCTGGGGATAGAGACCGGTGGATCTCTGTGAGTTCAAGGTAAGCCTGGTCTACATATCAAATTCCAGGACAACCAGGGCTATGTAGAGAGACACTGTCTCAAAAACAAAAACTACCACCGCGCAGCTACCACTTAAATTCTTTTAAAAATTATTTTGCTACATTTGTTTTATTGTTTGTGCAGGGTTCAACATATGTGTGGAGGTCAGAAGGCAACTTTTCACCATGATCCTGAGATTCAAACTAGGTCACTGGGCTTAGCAGTAAGCACCTTTGCCTACTGGGCTGTGTCAAGGATCCCCTGTATAAATTCTTACACAACCTTGTCTTGTTTTGCTTTTCAGACACACTCCATTGAGCTTCTTGTCTACTTGTGCTATGCTTTTAACCACGATAACTTTGTTAATTCATTTGAATTTTCTAAAAATAAAAACTCATCCTTATTACTTGTCTTTAAAAGTGATTTTTTTTTTTTGCAGATTTAGTTTTTCAAATGAACTGAGAAGTAAGATTGGTAGTAGGATGGAAATATAGCTCAGGGGTAAGTTTATTTAGTACTGTAAGGCTTGTGGTTCAGTGAAGCAAAAGACAGAAAAAAGTTAGGGCTAGAGCAGTGGCTCAGTTGGCAGAGTGCTTGTACCAGCAGGGAGTGGGGTGTTATGGAAACTAATGGAGTTGTTTGTTTATTAGACAATCTCATTATATAGACCAGACAGACTGGCCTCAAACTCAAAGAAGTCTGCCTATCTCTGTCTCCTGAATGCTGGGATTAAAGGCATGTGTGACTATGCACAGCCAATAATTATTTTGTGACCAATATAGTAGTATGCATTTTTAGTTATGCAAGTTACTAATGCATTTATTAACTTACTTTCATCATGTCTTTTTTTTTTTTTTTTTTTTTTTTTTTTTGGCTTTTACGAGACAGGGTTTCTCTGTATTGTTTTGGAGGCTGTCGGTCCAACCTGGCCTCGAACTCACAGAGATCCGCCTGCCTGTGCCTCCCGAGTGCTGGGATTAAAGGCGTGCGCCACCACCGCCTGGCACTTTCATCATGTCTTAGTCACTGTTTTATTGTTGTGAAGAGACACCATGACCAAGGCAAGTTTTTAATTTTAAAAAATTTAGTTTTCATTTTACACATCAACCCCATTTCTCTTTCCTCTTTTTCTACCCCCACCCCAAGGCAACTTTTATAAAGGAAACATTTAATTGGGGCTTGCTTACAGTTTCAGAGGTTTAGTCCATTATCATGTCAGGAGCATGGCAATACTCATGATGCTTGTAGCAGTAGCTGAGACTACATCCTGACTTGCAGACTAAGGGAAAGAGAAAGACTGGGCCTGGCATGGGCTTCTGAAACATCAAGGCTCTCCAACCCTCCACATTGCCAGTGACACACTTTCTCCAACAAGGCCACACCTCCTAATTCTTCTCAAATAGGAAGAGCAGTCAGTGCTCTTAACCTGTGAGCCATCTCTGCAGCTCCTTATAGGCCATTCTTATTCAAACCACCACAACATATTTGCTTAATTTAGTGAATTTCTAGGTCAGGCTTAAGGGTCTTTATAAGTAGTTTATGTTATTTATACCTGTTTCTTTGAGTTTTCATCCTGTAGCCCATGCTGACCTGGAACTCTGTATAACCTAGGAGGGCTTCCAGTTCACTATAGCCATTCTGCCTCAGCTTCCAAGGTACTGGAACTATAGGTATGAGTCTCCATGCCCAGCTTTTGTTTATATTTAAAACGTACAATACTCATAGAAATGAAATGAGAAAGATAGGTTAGATATTGTAATCCAGTACATTCAGGACAGTAAGATACTTCCGTACTCTAGTAGCAAGGTTGATACAATACCATTCACATGTAGTCAAGAAGACAAACATAGATCACAGAAAATCAGACCAGTTAATTTGCCCCGTGCTACCCTACAGGTTTCAAATTACAGTTCAAATTCCCTGTACTCTAAGGTAAAGCCATGAAACCTTTAGAAGATACATGTACAGCCAAAAATGGGATAATTATTGTTAGTGAGCCAGCAGCTGGATGAGTCCCAGTCATACTCAAGATGCATCAAAAGTCTATTTGCTCTAGGGATATAGAGAGCATTAAATCTATGTGTGATCCATATTCAAGTATAGTCTACTTCTAGAAGTTGATTGTTTTTTCTAGTTATGACATTGGTTTTTGTTCCAGACAGTGTCTCATGTAGCCTTGACTGTCTTCAAACTCACTAAACTCACCCTGAGCTTCTGATGTTCCACTTCTATCTCTTCAGTGATGTGATTGCAAGCATGTGCCACCATGCTTGATTTTACTTAGTGGTGGGAACCAAATCCAGGATTTTGTGCATACCTAGGCAGTTATTCTCCTCAGCCTTAGTTATAACAATGGAAATTATATTTTTCTTGATAGTATAACTTGGTTCGTGATTGTCCACCTTGAGCCTCTTATGCTTTTTTCCTAGCAGCCAGTGCCTTGCCCAGTCTTCAACAGCCATACCCGAGCTCATTGTAATCTCTGCTTAGCCTGCATGCAGACAAATATAACTGTCCTTAGTGTTATAATCTCCTTGATTCTGTGAGGGTAATGGCTATTGCCGGGGGTAGGCATTGACTTGTAGTAGCAAATTAAAGCATTAGACATGTGATAAGTGTTCTTTTGTTGGTTCTGTGCTTCTTAAATAACTATTTCTTACAGATACTTAGAATGATGTGTTTAGGACTAGAGAGATGGCTCAGAGGTTAAGAGCACCGGCTGCTCTTCCAGAGGTCCTTAGTTCAATTCCCAGCAACCACATGGTGGCTGACAACCATCTGTAATGATAGCCCTCTTCTGGCCTGTAGGATACATGCAGACAGAACACTGTATACATAATAAAAAAATAAATCTTAAAAAAAAAGAATGAGCCGGGCGTTGGTGGCGCACGCCTTTAATCCCAGCACTCAGGAGGCAGAGGCAGGCGGATCTCTGTGAGTTCGAGACCAGCCTGGACTACCGAGCGAGTTCCAGGACAGCCTCCAAAGCCACAGAGAAACCCTGTCTCAAAAAAAAGAATGATGTGTTTAATTATATATTTATTTTTAAAAATTTATTTATTTATTATGTATGCAGTATTCTGTCTGCATGTGTCCCTGCAGGCCAGAAGAGGGCACCAGATCTCATTACAGATGCTTGTGAGCTACCATGTGGTTGCTGGGAATTGAACTTAGGACCTCTGGAAGAACAACGGGTGCTCTTGACCTCTGAGCCATCTCTCCAGTCCCCTGATGTATTTATTTTTAACCAAAGAAGTAAAGCAGAGCTGGGCATTGGTGGTGCATGCCTTTAATCCCAGCACTTGGGAGACAGAGGCAGGTGTATCTCTGTAAGTTCGAGGCTAGCCTGGTCTACAGAGCAAGTGCCAGGATAGGCTCTAAAGCTACACAGAGAAACCCTGTCTTGAAAAACCAAGAAAAAAAAAGTAAAGCAGAGTGGATTGTTTGTAGGCGCCCTACCCTGTGTTAGGTTCCACATATTTTAATGTATCCAGTATAGATTCTGTGAGGTAGATGGTGTTATTCTAAGGTTATAGAGGGTAGGTGGGGCATGGTGATTGACAGCATTAGTCTCAGCATTTGGGAGGTAGAGCCAGGCAGATCTCTTAAGTTCAAGGCTAACCTGGTCTATATACTGAGTTCCAGGACAGCTGGGCCTGTATAGAAAGATACCATCTCAAAAACACAAAATAAAGTAAAATAATCAGAGGACAGTAGAAATTTGTGTTTTCAGCCTGGCGTTGGTGGCGCACCCTTTTAATCCCAGCACTTAGGAGACAGAGGCCTGTGGATTTCTGTGAGTTCGAGGCCAGCCTGGTCTACAGAGCTAGTTCTAGGACAGCTAGGGCTGTTACATAGGCAAATCTTGTATCAAAAAACCAAAGAGAGAGAGAGGGAGGGAGGGAGGGAGGGAGGGAGGGAGGGAGGGAGGGAGGGAGGGAGGGAGGGAGGGAGAGAGAGAGAGAGAGAGAGATTGATTGATTTGTGTTTCCTTATGAGTTCAGTTTTGTTTCAATATAAATGTTTTGTTTTGTTTGAGCTAGAGTCTCACTATAGTTCCTGGCCTGGAGCTTGCTATGTAGACCAAGCTCTCCTCAAACTCATAGAGATCTGCCAGTCTCAGATTCCTTAGTGC